AAAGATTACATGTCAATGTTTTGTCTGTACCCTTATTTCATTGTGTTACATTTCACCCCAGGATATGTTACAACTAACCCAGACTATGGGGTTAATTGTAACATTTCACTCTTTGTGTTTGAGGCCATACCATACAATGGGTAATTGTGCTGCAGAGAAAATAGCTGCACTATTTAATAGCAGAGACATGTAAATACTTTGCATTACATTTTGAATCCACTACCTTAAAAGAGCTCTAATTTACAGACAGAAATGTCAAAAATGTTACAACTATCCCCGGTCTCCCCTATATTGGATGATGAGAGAACATGAGTTATTTTTCCTGATTAAAATTGTAAATATAAATTTGAGCAAGAGCAAATGCTCCAAAATGCTAATTTATGGGTAAAGATTGCTACAGTGCAATCACAGTTAAGCTGTTTTTTTCTCTTTTTTTGACAAACTAGCTAATTACCAGATGAAAACACTAAAGTTGTTTACTGGAGTGTTCCACTTAAAATGTAAATTTGTGGCTATTACTCTTTTCAAATCCTCTAAGGAAGCGTTCGCTGGTTAGATGCAGCTGGTTAGTAAAAAATGACTGTTTCTGCTGTGAGTGTTATAAACTCGGCTGATGTTATAACTGAACAATTCTACGCTTGCAACACCTTAATCAGCTTCCTGCAAGGAAACTAAACATTAAACACAAACGCACGTTCTCTCAAATGAGCTGGACGGAAAGTTGCTACATCTCCAATTTATTTATGGGATACGCTGCTTTTGGATCACAGTGTTTAGGGATATTAATATTTCACTAATGAGCAATTCACCAGTGGTGCAGAATAAACACACACGTACATGCTCAAACTGCTGTGTTTACAACATATCAACTACAAACATAACCTCACTTAAACATATCAAACTTTTACTTGAGCAACTTGAGAATCAAGAGCAACAAAACAGTGATTCATACACCAACTAACGCCAAGATTTTCCTTCTTGTGACCTATTTTCCACACATGTCTATCTACGCTCTGCTTATGTTGCTGCAGGGGAAATCTTACGACAAAGATTAGCCATCCTGTTTGCATTCACCTCACTGACAGTTACCAGGGAGGAAAAGCGAGATTGGATGGGGCAAGTAATCCTGATTGCACTCAAATGCACCGCACGAAGCCTAATGAAATAAACTCAATCAAGGTTTTTTCCCCAAAATGCCAAAATCAATTATGCTCAGCTGTGATAAGAAAGTGAAAAGTTCCATTTGGCCACCCTTAACTACTTTCAAGCCTCAGTATCATACCAGTGGTAAAGTGAGAAAGTATTTCCTTGTTTTGTTGCTTCGTACGGCGTATCTGCTGCACGATATTTCAGAGCAACGGTTGTGA